CGGATTGCACAATGGAATCAAGTCACACGAGGTAACGTGTGTGTCTATGTAGCTCAGCAGTGAACAGACAGATTCAGTGCTGCTTCAATTATTACCCTGGCAACGCTGGAATCACAGACGATTGGACTTCGACTTTCGACTGGATACGGAAAGACATTGAGGTGTCGATTTAAAGGTTCCCAAATCTCTACATTGTGAATTTCGAAACAGTTTACTTGGATCTGGATGCTTCCGTCACTTAATGATTTCTGTTAACACGTCAAGCACTATCATATAGATAATCATGGTGATATATTTAAACGTAAATAAGGCCATTTGTGTGAATCCATGCCATGGTTCCATGAATCGGTTGCTACATTTAGGAATGGCCAAAGATGACGTGAGTTTAAGCGGTCATTCATTGACAAGCAATTGATTCACGTGTTAATTTGTCAGTACAGGCTATTTAGCACATAAATCACTTAAAATAAGAGCAGGCAATAAACAAGGATTTTGCAGTTCTTATATTGAAGCTTCCAGCGAATTACCCATATCAATTGCAGATTCTCAAAGGCGTGTGTTAGGTTGTAATGTTTGACCGGCTATATGCACCTAATTTAAACATTAGGGTATCGTGTGTTTCTGATTGAACCGATGGGCTCGATCAAATGCCTCGGATTTGGAACCGTTCCTGTTCAACCAGAGTGAACACATGAGCGGGGTATTTAGCACCACATAGGTGCTACCTGACACTTTCTCCAAACAACTCTCACGTTTTTGTTTGTGTCAAAATATTGGCTTCATGCGTTAATCCAAACTGAACAAACTCACACGAGATAACTTGTGCGCCTATGTAGCTTGTCAGTGAACAGACAGATTGTGTCACTTCAATCATTACCCAGGCAACGCTGGAATCACTAACGACTGGACTTTGACATCCTAGTAAACATGAAAAGCATTGCAGATACGTAGTGCGGGGAACGACTTCATTAAGAGAAGAGACAGTCACTTGTCTTCCCTAGCATCTAAATGCGAAACATTCGATTGTAGGTATTATCACTAGGCCTATTGGCCCTGTGAATACAAATCGTCATTGACAATTATACGATTTTAGTTCATTGGATTTCGCTCTTTTGATTGTATTTGCAGTGTCACTGTGTGAAGAAGCTGGATCCACTTTGACGTGGAGTTTGGTTGCTTGTTCATGAGAGTACAGACAATATTAAGTTGTCTTTATAATATGAATGCTTACCAGTGTATTTGCTTTTTCTCTGACATAAGTCAACACAGAATTTATCGACTTTGCAGTCAAGTTTTTTTCAGTACCTGCTTCACCTTGAGTCATTTTGGTCATGGTAGACGAAGCGTAACATTTACAAATATCTCTCCATCGTCTCAGATATAGCAAA